AACACACGAGCTCTGCAGCTGCACATGTTGGCCCCTCACACACACACACACACACAGACGTGCCCCGCTTTCCTGCCACCAGAGTCAGAAGGGGACGCAGATCGTAAGCAGACTAAAAGTTTCCGTGCAACATTACGGACACGGTGCAGGAAAAGATTCAGAAGAGATATCTGCCATGTTGCCTTTTTCAGGTTTTTGCAAGGACGTCACTGGTGACACGTGACATTTGTAGCATGCATCGTGCACAACGTTTATAATCAAATGCTCAGCGGTGTCGCGAGGAAATTACGATGTAGAGAGATGTAATTAATTTCAAAGGCCTGAGACGAACGTCTTAAAATATATACAAAAACAACTGCAACAGTTCAGATTCACCACAAAACACACAGAGTGGAGTGCGTATCGTAGCAGGTGTGCATCTGCAGACTGTACTCAGAAATGAATGATGATGAAACAAAACAACATATTGTGTTTACAGTGAATGGTGTAAGTGAATAAAACCAGTTGTCTTGATTTTATTTTGAAAACCATTCCAGAATTCTCCTATCAGGCCTTACCAGAGCCATCTATTTGCAGCTGCTTGAAGACACTGTTTGAAATGTTGCCGTTTCATAATTAAAAGAAATTAACATTTTTGCATGAATTAACCGACGAGCTTTAAACGTGCCACCGCCTGGTGCGCTTCGGGGAATAAAGAAGCACCACGACAAGAGACGATGGCAGGTTTCCTTCAACCAGTGCCAGCTCATTAATTTCGTTGCTACCCAGACACCCCACCCCCTCCACACACCACCACTTTTTTTTTTCAGCACCACCTACCACCACCCATCCTCACCCACATCCCCCTTAACCGCTAATTAGCAGGAGCAGAGCACAGAAGGAAAGCAAGAGGCCATGTGTGTCTGGAGAGGAAACGGGGAGACTCTTCTTCTTCTTCTTCTTCGCCTTCCTCGTGATCCCCCCCTCCCCCACAACAGTCGCACACTCCTCCCCAACAACCCTTTGACTCCACCATCCCTGGTGCCCAACAGAAAACCGTGATGCTGCTCACCTCAAGTGCCAGCCCAGCCATTTTAGGCGCCGTGGCAAACGTCTCCCAAGATGGCTCCTCTGAGCGGGCTCCTATACTCCAGGGAACTGGGGAGGGTCTTTGTCCGCCTCCTGGCACAGGAGAAGTGTCTCCGCTGGCAGTGCAGATGGCATCAGAGGGCAAAATGGGACCGGATCTGGACCAATGGTTTCCTCACTTCTGTCCATGTGCTGTTTCAGGCAGGTCCTTTGATGGAAGGCCGCAGCAGGAACATAATGAAAGAGAACAAATAAGAATGTTATTCATTTCATTGCATTATTACAACTAAAACAGCCCTTTAATCATAGGTTATTAACAGAGTTACACCATCAGCCAATAATAAAAAAAAGATACACGGACGATTTGTTAAAAATCAGCCCATTATCTAAACTTTTAAAGCTCGGAGCAGTTCTCCTTTGTCGTGTATTTTTCAGGACATGAGTGTGTATTTTACTGCGTTAAAATTCCTCACATTGTAAAGGTTAAATCAAGGATGCCTGGGCCCATTCCATACATGCAGCTCAAGTGTTTTTGTTCCCATTAGGAGGCACACCGGGTTCACACGCTACCTAAGACAGGGGAACGGTCTGGAAGAGACTCGGACCTCGGCCTTTTCACATCTCCAGTACCTGAAACAATTAGTTGAGTCCCGCTGCATTAACAGAGTGAAGAAAGCTCATCTCACTGTGGTGCTCTTTAGGCCTTTCTAGAGGCTAGGCTGCACCGTATAGAGCTGAAGTACCAAGTTGAAAAGTTCAGCTCAAGTCTACAGGACGGCCCGTCTCATTGAGCCGAGGCACAATGTTTCCCAAAGGCCTCGAAATCTGCAGCTTTAAATACAAACGCCAAGTGTTTTTTAAATGTCTACACTGTGTTATTAGAGGTTGGACAGGTCTTGAATGAAGTTTTATTTTCTTTTAATTAAATAAAATTACTATGGAAACTCTATTTTTTTCCCAGTGAAAGATAAAGTGTAAAAGAGCAAGAGTGAGGTATACAGATTTTTGGACTTTCTTATTGTGACCGACAGCATTTTAATGAAACGACGACCTCTGATGGGCTGCTTTTAGTTTAAAGCAAATATAATGTCATATTATAACAAAGAAAAACGTAAACTAACAGTCCATGAGCTCTGTTCAGCTGCTTCAGTTTCAAAAAAAAGAGTTTGCTCACCTGTGCTTTTCTACAATGAAACATAATTCACTTCTAAAATCAAATTCATTTCAGTAAAATGTCTGCCCATTTAAAGTTTCTTCCACGATGAAGGAATCTTCAAAATTTAATAGGGTTTAAAATTCTTCCACGAGTCCTTCTGAATAGATAAACACCGTAAAAATAAGTTTTTAGCTTTTGGTTATTTTGTATAAAGCTTATACTGTATAGCTTTTTAAATGCACAGCCATGAAATGAAGAAAAATATGATTGGTGAAACAAAATACAGCTAAAAAAAAAAAAAAGCAATAAAAATTCTTATTTCAAAGACTCACCTTCTGCAGTTATGATTTGTTCTTCATGTTTCATATACACATGTTTAAAACAAAGTTAAAGATTTGTTTAATGCTCTGTTGTTAAAAACAAAATATGTCCAAACCAAACTTACTGTTAACTTTTCATGTAAGAATCCACTTGCAGCCTCCTCCCCATCATCGACTCTTGGGAGTGAACATGGAAGTCATTTCTACTTTCGGTTATCTAGCTTTATGACAGGTGTTTAAAACTCATACAGCTAGATAACCAAAGATAAAAACAGACCTCCTCCCTCAGACACAGACAGACCTGCAGCTCTATGGAATGATCTGGAAGAAGAAGGCCTCAATATTTACACATGTGTCAGGCTTGGTTTGGGCATTATTTATTAAATAAAACAGAAAAAAGTACCATTAAGCATGACAAAACACAAGAAGACATGCATTAACTGATTCATGGTATTTTGCTCATTTAGCAATTAATTAAGACAATTAGGCCTCTACAGTCTGGCGTCTGTCAAAAGGCCTGCTGGTGGTGGAATCTTTCTTTTTTTATTTATGTAAATTTAAATAAGTGAAAATCATAGATTTATTGAATGCAGAAATTACTATAGCAATAATACATTATTTTCTAATTTACAACGGAAGCTGTGGCATGTTCTGTAAAAAAAAACAAAAAATGTTAAAATGGATAAAAATGTCAACTTGTTGAATTTAAGCAACATATGAACTAAATCACTTTTAGTTAAATCAGAAAACAACAACAACAAAAAAAGGTTTGTTAATGTGCATTATTTGATTTTTGCGGTTTTATTTGTTAAAAGCTTTGATTTTTCCAGCCTGCATCGTCCCAACACTTCCAAAACAAACCAGTCTTTTGTTTTATTTCTTCACATTATTTTGATGTTTTGCTCCAACATAATTCGGATTTTTTTTATATTTTTATTTTTAGGCTAAAAGTTGAACATTTTAAGGAGTTTTCTTAAAAAGGAGAAGGCTGTAGATTATCAGATCAAAATGTGTCAGCCTGACAGCAGGAGGAAATGATGCTCTAAAATCAGCAGCTGACTCTTATGAAAATTAAAATGAACGTGTTTGCAGTCCAACCTGAGCAGAGGTTTAATGATGCTTTAATTTCACTCTTTTTTTTTTTTTTTTGCTCCCGAGAGAAGAATCCTCACTTTTAATGAGTTGTGATTGGCCTACTTCTTCCAAAACTAGATTATTTTACCTCATAAGGACTAATTTGTTACAAAAACAAATTTGTTCTTGCAAATAACAGAATGACTTGAAGGGAAAAAAGCTATTATTATTTGGCGAACCTTGGGGTTTGTACGTATATATATATATATATATAAATATATATAAATTAAAAAAAAAAATCGTGTTTACCTGCTTTTTGTGGATAAACGGGCACTTCGCCCTTTAAATATAATGTTTAATCGTATAAAGGAATAACTATTATCTGGATTGCACGTTCATTATTAACATGTTTTTTTTTGTTCACATTTAATGTCAAATAAAACGATGCTCGTGAAAATTTTGACCCATTCCCTGATGATGCTCTTACCTGTCTGAGACGCAAAGCAGGAGAAAATGTCCTCCTCGGCTGTAATTTGTGCAGGTTTGTCCAGGCGGATCTTTTTATTTGTTTATTTTGTTATTGTTTTCTGCCTTTTCATCGGCTCCACGCAGAAAGATCGAGCCGCGGAGCTCCGTTCCACCTCCGTCCTCTGTCCTCCAGCCTCTGCCTCTCCTCCAACCTCTGCTCTGCCTCTACTGACAACCAGCTCCATCATTGACGTCATCCAGGACCGAGGGCCGCGGACGGACCAATCACAGAGCCCGTCTCAAACAAAGAACGTCCTGAATAGGAAGATGTGTCACTCTGAGCAATTTTCACTCGTTTGTTTTCTTTCACAAAAAAAACAGAATAATCAGGATGTATTATTATATTTATGTTTATAATATTACAGATCTTAGATAGATAGATAGATAGATAGATAGATAGATAGATAGATAGATAG